GGGCCGGACGGGGCGACGGCGCGGCGCGCGCGCTCCGCCTCCGCTTCCAGCACCGCCCAGCGCTCCACGGCGGCCAGCTCGGCGGGGCCGGCCAGCGACTCGAGCAGGTCCACCGCCGAGGACATGTTGCCCGGGCTGGCGCGGCACGCCGCCAGTGTGGGCAGGCGCAGCACCACCTCCAGGCACGTCGGCGGGCGGGAGGGGGCGAGGCGGGCTGGGCTGCCGGCGTCGGGCACGTCGATCCCCATCGCCACGTCGCCCGCCGCCGCCTCGCCGTCCACGCCTGCCGGCGCCTCGCTCCCCTCCGCCTCGCCCACGCCCTCGCCCAGGAACACGCGGTCCAGGTCCAGCACACGCACTTCGGCCAGCGCACACACGACGTCCTCCACGCGGCGTCGTGCCAGGTAAGAAAGTGCGTCCACGGCGCGGCGCGCGGTGTCGGGGTGCACGCCGCCGCCGTCGCCCGCCAGCTCGCGCAGCGCGCGCGCCGAGGCCGGCGGCAGCGCGGACGCGTCGGCGGTCGCCTCCCCCGCGGCCGCGCCGCGCGCCACCAGCAGCGAGCAGAGCGCGCGCAGCAGGAGCGTGCGCGCGCGTGGCGCCGCGCAGGCGTTCAGCAGCAGGCGCTGGAGCAAGCCCTTGCGCATGGGCCGGGACGCGCAGCAGGCGCAGCAGCTGCACCAGGCTCGCCGCGTCCAGCTCGGCGGCAGGCTCGGCGGCCGCGGCCGGCGCGGCGCCGCCTCCCCCGCGCCGCGGCGCCGCCCGTGCGCGGCCGCCGCGCCGCCGCGCACTCGCACGCTGCCGCCGGGGCCCAGCATGCGGATGGTGGCGGCGGTGCCGATGTCCCCCACCTGCATCACGCGCCCCATCTGCAGCACCTGGAAACAGAATGTGGAGGGGTGCAGCGATGTGTGTGACCACTTGCTGTGCTCAAGACACAGAGCACAGTCACGACCCTGGCTGCTGATGTCTGGTATCGTCTCGTTGCAGGTGTGGGCATCGGCCGTGCCACTGATCAGCGTAACACAGTCATCTGCCACGTGTTCCTCCAGCACCATGATTTGGGGCGTCTCCTCCCCCGGGCAGCCCCGACCAGTGCTTCTTTGCTCCCCCACCTGTGTGCCATGGCCCTCCCAACAGCTTTCCCTCCCCTCTCAACAGGCACACACCGCCCCGCCACCCATTAAACCCCCCACGCCTCTCACCTCGGGCACGTCCTCGCCATCTCCCGCACCCGCCAGGAACCCGGCTCGGCGCAGGGAGCGCGACATGCGCTCGCGCAGGGCCTGGGCCTCTGCCAGCATGTCCGGCGGCAGCGTGGCCAGCAGCGCCTCGTCAGCGCTGCGGCGGGGTGTGGGTATGTGTGTGGGGAGGGGGGGGGTGCAAGGGCGCATGTGCGTTGCTGGGTGAGGGGCCTAGCGGGGTCCTGGGATTCGCCACCAACAGGGTCCCCAGTGCCTTACCGGTAACCCCCGTGAACCCCCTCCCTCCCTAAGGCAGACACCTTTGCCTCACCTGAGGAACACCTCGGCCCGGACCTCTGGCGGGAAACTGGTGACCAGCGAGGCAAAGTCCATGTCGGCGGCGCCGGGCGCGGGGCCACCGCCCGCCGCGCGCGCCGTCTCGCGCGCCTCCGCCTCCCGCGCCAGCCGCCGCTCGCGCCGCGCCTGCTCCAGCACCTCGGCCTGCAGCTCGGGCGGCAGCGCAGCCAGGAACTCGGGGTCGATGCCGCTCGTGCTGGACTCCCGCTCCAGCGGCGCTTCGCCGCCCGCGCCGCCGGCCGGTCCTGCGGCCCCTTCCTCCTCCTCCTCCTCCTCCTCTCCCTCCTCTGGCTCCTCACCGGCGCTCAGCATGTCGGCGTCGCTGCCGGCGCCCAGGATCTCGGCGCGCAGGCCTTCTGGGAGCACCTCCAGGAAGGCAGCGTCGATGGGCGCGGGGCCTGCGGCAGCTTCTGCGTCGGTCGGTCCGCGCTCCGCCGCCGCCGCTGCGCCCGCGCTGTGTCGCATCGCGGCCGCCAGGGCGCTACTGAACGCGTCCTGCCCGATGACGCCCGCGGCGGCTGGGGCTGGAGGTGTTGCTGTAGTAGTCGGGGCCGCGGCCGGTGCCGCAGCAGGGGCCGCGGCCGCCGCCGACGTGGTGGGTTGCGGCGTCGCAGCAGCAGCGGCGATGGGCTCGGCGGCAGCCTCGGCCGCGTCGCGCACCTCGGCCGCCTCGCGACCCTCACCCTCGCCCCGCGCTCCCTCCTCCTCCCCGTCGCCGCCGTGCTCGACGTCCATGGCCTCCGGCCCGTCCGCCGCGACCGGCGGCGGCGGCGCGCCCCAGCGGTGCGGGGACGTCACGCCGATGGCCCGCAAGCCGCCGGCCATCGCGGCCGGCACGCGCGGGTCGTGCGCGCCGCCGCCGTTGCCACCCAGCGCGCGCTCCATGGCGGCGGCCAGGCCGCCCTGGCCGCCGCCCGCGCCGCCCGCACCCGCGTCGCCGTCGGCCCACCCCGCGGC